GGGTTTAGGGTTTAGGTGTTTTTTGTTTAAGCCCTTAAGCCCTGAACCCCACAGCCCTAAACCTCCAACTTCAAACTCCAGGTGTGCCTGGCACATGTGGCTTTGTGATCGGTGCAGCAGAAGGGCGAGAGGATGTAGGATTTAGGGTGGTTTAGGGTTCAGCGGTTTAGGAGTTTAGGGTGTAGGGGTCAGGGGTTTAGGCTGCAGCGTTTCGGGTTAAGGGTTTAGGGTTTTGCATTTAAATTTAGGGTTTTGGGTTAAACCGTTTAGGGTTGAGAATGTAGGATTTAGGGTTCCTCTAAAAAGTTACTGTTCCGGATTCCTTTAGAGATCCTTTAAAGAGTTCTATAATGGCTACCATCATAGATGCTCTCCAAGTACCCTAAGCCCTAAGCCCTAAATCCAACGCCGTTAGAAGAACAAACAACAATGCCAAATCCTAATATGGCTAGTTCTCTAAATTCGGGTCCCTTTTTGGGTCCCCAATATAGTACGGCACCCTTATAAAAAAAGGACCCTAAAAGGCACCTTACTTTAGAGAACTACCCATATTGTTTTTTGTTTGAGCTTCAGGGCTCCGAAGTTTAGGGTTTAGGGTTCAGGGTTTAGGGTTTAAGGTTTAGGGTTTAGGGTTTAGGGTTCGGGAGCGCGATCGCTCCAGGAGCTGCATCATGCTTCGTCGTGCGGTGGGTTGTTCCAAACACAGGGAGGTTTCGGTCAACCCACAGCCCTAAACCCTTAAACCCTACCTATGGAGACTTCCTTTTGGGGGTTACCGTATAGGATCCTCTATATATATATATATATTGATTGATTGTGTTAAACCGAAAAAGTACTACAATGGAGACTACGGGTAAACCCTAATTTTCGGTCCTGCGGTTTTTGGGATTGCTGAGTTTGAGGACTCCAAGAAGGCTTTCGGGTTTGGGGTTCCGCGTTTGAGGCATCGCGTGGTTCGCCGTTGATTTGGAACTACCGCCTGTGCACACTTCGAAGACCCTTCTTTGGGCGGTTGCCTGAACACATGATAAGGTTAAAAACAGATGCATATGTGTATGTGTATATATATATATGTTTGATACACCCCATCTTGCTAGTAGTGCTATGTCAAGCTGTGGTAGTCTGCGCGTAGAGTAAGCTCAAGCGAATCTAATGTTGCAACCACCCGCTCCCTGTACAGGACTCTTTTATCTCGGTGTCTGTGCCATGCAAAGAGGCACCACAGAACCACCAGCAAGAGGGAGTTCTGAACGCAGTATATAACCCTGTTCTCATCAATTATTCAAGCCCTAAACATTAAGTTATAAATTCGAAGTTCAAGGAGTCCCTACCGACGCAGCTCAGTGTCGTGGACATGCTGCTTCCAGTGTTTCGGGGCCATACATCCTATGGGTTCTGCTAAGTTTCGGTTGTGAGGGTTCTAGTGGCTCCATCAGGGTTTCTGGAGCCCTAAATCCTAAACCCTAAACCCTTAGAGGAACCCTAAACCC